CTTAATCAGGAAAGATCGGTGTTAAAAATTTCGGCATGAGGCGCAGCATTTGATGTCTTTAGATACGGCGCACCATAAAGCATTAATTGCACCTTTTGTTCCTTCTAAAATAATAACTTTGGCAATGTCATTATATTTATCAAATGAAATCTAGATAGCAAATAGTTGTGAAAAACCACCCAAGAGCGGCATATAATTATAAGAAAGTTAATACAAGAAAGTATCATCAATAACAAACATTAGAAATATATACCTTATCTAAAACATTAAGGAGACTTTGTGCCTGTGATGATACTTCAATTGCATCTTGTAAAATTTTACTATATTTCGATTTAAGTTTATTATATATATTTGATGGCAAGATATTTTCTGCAGTATTAATTTGATCACCTATTGGTAGATGCCTAAAATCAATACACCTCCACCAGAGAGGGCTAAACAAGGATAATAAATCTCAGTAAAACTTGAGATAGAATAATGGCCTTTTTCTTCATTCCTCAGCTTATAAAAATTCTCTTTGATAAATGAAAATAATTCTTCATCTGTGTCTGTTGATATTTCCAACTCATTATTTAATTCGTTTATATCAAAGTAATTTTCATCATCATCCTCTATTAATATTATATAGAATCAAATAATATAATTCATAATAGATTGAATCTTCTGGAAAAAAAAAACAAATAGAAAAAAAAGGCATTTCAAAAGTTTTGAAAAACAAATATACTGAGTTTTTTACACAATTTATTCTGTGGTAATTCATAAAAATCTTCTCTTTGATTTTTTTTTTCCTCTTTTTTGTCTTGCTCCTGAAGACATTTTTTTATTTATCACCATTGTTGACACGATTGAATTTTTTTTTTGGAAAAACAATCTTTTACAAGATGAGAGAAAGTGCGAACATTGTTGTTCAGTATGGCTTGTTCTAAAGAAAACATGTTGTTTATTGATGGTGAGAGGTACACTATTTTTTTTGTTGCATTGTTTTTATTATTTTAATTGTTTTTATGAATATTGATATGTATTGATTCTTTTGTATAAATATTATTGCAAAATCAAACTATGGAAGCAGATCTTGTAGTGTCTT